AGAGAGAGAGAGACACACACACACACAGAGAGACAGAGAGAGAGAGAGACACACACTCTTACTCTTGCTCTATACGCAATCAAGAAAAAATTCCAAAATATTGAAATACCGCTTCCAATTTGGTGTAAAATCTTTGCTAGTGTGATTCAGCCCATAGCGCTGTATGGAAGTGAGGTTTGGGGTCCACTCAGTGATCAGAGCTACACTAGATGGGACAGACATCCAACAGAAGCCCTACACACAGAATTCTGCAAAATGATTCTAAAACTACAAAGAAAAACAACCAATAACGCATGCAGGGCAGAATTAGGCCGATTCCCATTGATTATCAATATGCATAAAAGATCTCTCAAATTCTGGATGCATCTTAAATCAAGTCCCACAGATTCGCTACAGTTTAAAGCGCTACAAACCCAAGAACTGAACCCCGAAAAGAGTCCACTCAGTCAGCTAGTTCTGAGACTTACTAACCTGACTAACTCTACTAACACTATCCAGTCTCAAACCAGCACTGCTTCTCATCCAAACATCAAAATAAATCAAATTATCAAACAATCTAAAAATACATATCTGGAACATTGGGATCAAGAAACTAAAACACAAAGTAAATTACAATTCTATAAGAGCTGGTTAGCAGAGAGTGTGTGCTCACTGTGAGACAGCAGAGATCGAGACAGAGACGCACTTCCTCCTTCACTGTCACACTGTCATATCCATAAGAAACATCTACTTCAACAAATTCACCCACTTAATAAAGAACTTTACAGCCATTAGTGAAACAGAACAAATAAAGATAGTATTAGGAGAGCGACAGACATGTTTTAATGTAATGTTGTTATCATAATAATACTGTTTTATTATTATTAACACATTAAAGTAATAATACTTCAAAGATGATGACGAAAATAATAATAATAATATATTTTATATATAATTATATAACATTATTATTATTAATATATTTAGGTGATATAAATATATATAATAACAATTATTATAAATACTACTAATAAATTATTATAATTATAAAATAAAAAATGCTTCTAGTTTGTCTCAGTTAAGGAAACATTGTTTCAGATTCAGTAAATAAAATACAAATTGAACACATTTTTGTATTTTGAAGTTATATGTCGATCAGTTTCAGTGCTGAATGAAATACTTGTGTATTTATAACCTTCATGAATGTATCTTGAAGCAGTGCATTCTGGGAGTGACGCAGGTTTAGGAGTCTTGCTGTCAGCAGTGCTGTGTATGTAGGGCTCTCTTGACCCGTCAGACCTCTTCATACGTGTGTGTGTGTGTGTGTGTGTGTGTGTGTGTGTGTGTGTGTCAGGTTTCTGCTGCAGTGTCTGGAGGATCTGGACTCCAGTCTTCGTAAACTCAACTCCTGTCTGTTCGTCGTCCGCGGTCAGCCGGCGAACATCTTCCCTCGCCTCTTCAAGGTAACGCTGGCTGATGTTGAGATGAAACACAGCCCTGCTTTACAGTCCTGCAGCTCGCTTTCCTCTTTTCTCGTGTCGATCGCGTGTCCAGAATAACTCTGATTGGTCCGCAGGAGTGGAAGGTGTCTCGGCTGACGTTCGAGTGCGACTCGGAGCCGTTCGGGAAGGAGCGAGACGCGGCTATAAAGAAGCTGGCGTCTGAAGCGGGAGTGGAGGTGATCACGAAGATCTCACACACGCTTCACGACCTGGACAGGTGAGAACACACTCTGCCCCACCAGATGCATGCCACTCAAATGTTTCATATCTTACTTTTAGGCTATATAAGAAGGATATGATTGTAAAACTATAATCCGTTACTGTAGTGTTATAATATTTAACTTTTTAAAATAAAAAAATGCTGTTGGATGAATCCTTTCAGCTGAATCACTGAAATGAATGAATCAGTTGCATGATTCTCGTAATTGAATCTGTGTTATGTGTGGTGTGTCAGGATCACGGAGCTGAATGGCGGTCAGCCGCCGCTGACGTACAAGCGCTTCCAGACGCTGGTGAGCAGCATGGAGCCGCCGGAGCCTCCGCTGGAGCCGCTGAGCCGAGAGCTGCTGGGAAACTGTGTGACGCCCGTCAGAGACAACCACAGAGAGAGATACGGAGTCCCCCTGCTGGACGAGCTGGGTAACACACGCACACACACACACACACACAGATGGATTGGTTGTTTTCAGAGCGGTGCATCATGGGTGTGTTTGTGTTCAGGGTTCGACACTGAGTCTTTGGATCCTGCTGTTTGGCCCGGAGGAGAATCAGAGGCGCTGATGAGGTTGGAGCGACACCTCGGACCCGACTCTAACATGGTACGACACACACGCACACACACACACGGCTCCA